CCCCCCCCCCCCCCCCCCCCCCCCCCCCCCCCCCCCCCGCGAGCACCGCGACACCATGCCTTCTCTGCTGCTGCTGCTGTGCATTCCACCTCCGATTCCCCACGCATGAGCTGGTAACCTCTGCGTGGTGAGCACTCTGAAAATGTTCCTACTTTCATCACTGTATCGCAAGCAGGAAACAGAGGAAACGAACTTCAAAAAAAAAAAAGAACAGTGTCTTGATATATTTAAAATGTTAAGCATAAGTTTTTCTGGCATGTGCGGCTGCTGCTGAGGATCTGTCAACAGGGATCCCCTCTGCATAAGGAGCGTATGGTTTTACTCAACCGCTGTCGTTATTTCGGCCATATAATGATGCAAATGACATTCACGCACTGACTGACAACTCCAAGCACAAGAATAAAATAAAAATACATCAAATTTGTTTGTCTATTTAGATAACCCACGAGTCAGATGAAGAGTATCTTAAAATTTTGACGAAATTACATGTTGATAACAGCGGAGCCCTTTTTATACGTGCATCTCCATGAGCACTTTTGAAAAGTAAATCTGACAAAAAAAATTATTGCGGACGCATTCAGAATATTTCATCTGTTCGCAATGCCGTAATCCCCAAACTGATTTATCTTCAAATTTTTTTGAATAAAAACAAGAACAATTATCATCAACAATCGCTGGATGACAAATTCGGTCAAGATACCGCTTTCGCAACTATCGACAAAATAAATGATCGCACATTACGTGCCTTTTTCGAGGCTTTTTTTCTTCTGAGACTTTAACTTAGACTGATTAAAAAACCTTTGAAGCGAATTCTTTTTAGTGTATTACATTTTTTTTTTCGCGTAAAACGAGACCATAGTACACTGTTGCTTCTCAACTATCCAGGCTTCGATTACTCGTAGGCACAAAATAAGTAACAAATATAATGGAATTCAATCAAATTATTCTTTACCCATCTCTAAAATTTGATTTTAGTGCGCTTTATCTCCAGCATATCAACATGATTGCATTCAAAAATGCCATTAAAATCAAGCTCAACTTTACTGAGCGGCTGAGAGTCGACAAAATTTTGGTAATCGTTGTTTGATCTCATGAACGAGGAAAGTTAAAGAAACCCACAATTAGCTTCATGAGGACACCTTCAAGAAATGTACCGATTTCGAAAATCGTCTAGGCATAAGAAAACATCAGGCAATGACTGAAAAGCACTCTTTAAAACGTTTTTATTTGGGATGCATTGTCAAATAACGTTTGATCGTGATTAAATACAGTATTAAAAATGTTCATGGGAAAAGTGCGATCAATCGAGCTTCTGAGGGATCTTTCGAATGGCTGCTGCTCGTCATCGAAAATTGGCGAAAGTTTTGTTCGAGCCTCGTATTCATGTTTCCGTTCCTTGACGAGCATATATACCCGCACTCCCTCGCTCACAAAGTCAGCTGCGAAAATTGGGCCACGATTTTCCGTGCAACTGTTAAGCGGATGCTGCTGGTGCAGTGCCGGGGGAACCCGGGTTCCTTGGGTCGTCAGCATGCGAGGTCATTCCTCAACTGCGGAGAATCAAGTCGTCCTCGCTTAGGGACCGTGCAGTACTTGTCACCCCCGCAAACGCCTTCATGCGCTGGTTCATGACACCGAGAAACCCACCCACATACCGAGGAGTATCGCAACAAATTGGACTCGCACCGTCATAAATAAATCATCGCCCGTGATGGAAATATTTCTCATCATAATCGATTTTTTTCCCTTTTCGAATACTGTATTGAGTTCTCTTTCGTGATGACTATTCGGTAAATTAACATAAATACACGCATGTTGTTCCTAGAATATTCATTAGCTAAACGTAAAAAAAAAGCTTGCTTTACTTCTGATGGCCCCGAACGCGGCATTCCTTCGACGAATACCAAACTAACGTACAGTACTGTGATTCATTTTTAGCTATCGTTGATTGGATTAGTTCACATGTTGATTAATCAAGGTCAATAAACAGTTTCAAGCTGAGATTGACTGTGCTAGTGCTACATTTCAAGAAGTATTGAGATGAGTTTAAACGCCTCATTCATGGTACCCAGAGAATATTATTTGCTCGGCGAATGTCACCTGTGGATGACTCAGAAATACTTGGGAAAACTGTCTTTTAAACTCATCATAGATGTCACTAAATGCACGCAACGAAAGATGCACCCTCGGGGGGAAAACAGAACGAAGAATACATTTTAAGAAGGATTTATTGAGCCATTTTGAAGAAACTGAAGCTCGATTTTTTAAAGTTCTCCATCTCGATGCATCAGGTGATTAAACGAAATTTATTTACTTTTTAAACGAAAAGCGAATGCAACTCGTGCAATCCCTTCCTTGCAATCTAGTCAAGAAAAACGTTACATATGTTGACAAATGTCATTCCCATAATGTAGATGTCGCTTGAATCTCTTTCCGATAATCGAGCAATGCACGTTCGATTCAATGTATTCACAACTGATCACAGTATCCACGCATTCGGCATTCCTACTTCACAAGAGAGCTCTTCGTGCCTCTCGTCCTCAAGTTCCACAAAAAGAAGAGTAGTTCAGAGTTAACGAAGGGATTCTTCTCTCCAGCTTGTGCTAAAGACTTGGATCAGGTAGGCAGAAGAGGAGTAACGAAGGCGAAAATGGGTCACCGAACATTGAAAGCGCGTATTGGCGATTTCCAACAGCAGCACGGAGCTATACAGAAACAGGGGGGGAGGCAACCCTTGATTGCTTCTCCCGTTTTACTCGTACAGTGCAAGGGTTGTTCCAACACCTCACGGTCTCCTTATTTTGCGGATGCTTCATCATCAAAGGGATTTTCTGGTCTCCTTCTTCCGCGATGTAACTTCATTTCCACAATCGGTAATCATTTCACGCTCGGAAGTAATCGCGCTCTCAGATGAGAGACACATGAATGTTGTTGGTCGGGGCTTTCAGTTGCACGAGATCACACCTTGATATGGAAGTGAAGCCTCTGAAACATTTCCAGTTTCCGCGGGAATGACTGATTAAATCCAATCCTGTTCATCATCAGGAATCAACGAATCGCATCAACTCCCAAAATAATCACTTGCATTTCGGCTGCACGTCCGCGAAATCTGTCGGGCATGAATCAAAAGTAAAGCGATCGTTCAAATCAGCGAATGATTCAACATGATGAATTTGAATTTCACGAGTTCCGCGTACAACCATCTTGTCAATTTTCCACAACAAGTTTCGAGCAGAAAAAATGAGCTGGGAAGGATTGAAACATTTTTTTTGCTTCTCTAGAATAATCGAAAATTCCAGAAAGTTTCGAAAGCGAAGATTTTCAAGCGCAATCTGGAAAACACTTTTGCGAGCAATAAAATGTGTCAGTGTCTCATCTATATGTTCTTCGTGGTGGTGGAAAACTGGATTTTCTCGAGGAATATTGTTAATAATGGCTTCAGACCATTCGGGTTTTTGAATTTCAACTCTGACATTTTTATGGAAAAAAATTAAATGAAAGACAGAATTTTTCCCAGAGAACTCTCTGGTTTCGAGAGAACGTCGGATGTTCCGTCTGCACTCGGAACATGTATTTCGGGGTTCTGAAAATTACTTCCTCATGCATAGTGTGGCACAATTCTGCTCATTCCTTTTTTTTCGGTTCAACAAATATGCGAACGGAATTTCCAGTGGGGGGCGATGCAGAATTTCTCCTTTTAGTTTTACAGCACCGTCTCGATCTCGGCGATCTCGATCGTTTTCGGCCTGCGAATCAAAAGACGAAAAAAAAAGAGATGAAATTGTGATGAGAGGACAAAAAATAAATAAAAATGTCGTATCCGACTTTTCCCCCGATGCATGCAATACATGCGTCGGCCGTATAAAAATTTATGCGAAGCAATCTTCACCTTCGTTGTCGCGACTTGCGAGTCCCATTTCGGGCAAAAGTCTGCGACTGCTTCCACCACACAGGCTTGAACGGTTTGTCTCGCAAACAGTCCGAACTGAAGTGGGAAATGGACGGAACAGCGTGGACTTGTTGCGGATGCAGTCGGGACCTCGCTTCCGGAAGTGGGAACCGCGGGGATGTTGCTGCTCCTGGCGTTGCTTGCTGCAGGGACATCATGCTCCTGAAAATAGGTTCTTCCCTGGAAGACAGAATAAAAATACATGTGGAGAAAAGGCCCCTTTTCCCTGGGAATCTCTTCTTTTCCATTTTTTTCCCGGTTTTGGGGACCAAAAAAAAATCACAGTGGCAACGAGGGTTTTTGTAGCGACATGCGTCATCATTCTGCGTCGAGACTCGGGAATGATGCATGCGCAAAATTAAATAGTCGTGGGTGACAAATTACTGATATAATACAGTATATTGGCAGAGAAAAGTAATTGTTTGCAAGAGGTCAGAAGCGAAGACAAACATAATTGGTCCTGTAACATCGCCTAGAAAGTTTTCACATAAGCTCCAGCAAATATTAGTTGTTGTACAGTAAAATACTAGATGGAATAAACATACGATTTTCCTTAATCAAATTCCAAGCATGTACTCAGAGAGCTACATTTTGCGAAATTTTTACTGACTGCTCAAAGAATATACTGTATACAGGGTTTTCATAAGTGGCTCACTTCCTCAAGACCGTCTTCTTCCAATTGAGAAACATTGATTTTGAAGAAAAAGATCATATTTAATGCATCATAAATTTCCGCAACGGTACGATGGAAGTTAGGAAAATTTTCTTGCAATTGAAAATTTTGCTGCAAATCAAAGAGGTTTAATTTTTTCGGGCTCTTAATTTTTCGTTGAAACTCTCAACTCATTCGTTGGAACCCGATTTCTTTCAAATGCAGTGAAAGACACCCAAGATATTGGAACATCAATTTTCTGCGTTTGAATCAAAACGTCTGAATCTATGATTGAGATTTTATCTCTAGGAAGATCTTTTAAAATTTCGAACCTGTAACAATGACCCCTATATAGGGCTCTAGTATAATTTTTTTGCTTACGAATGGTCGTCACAGGATTATTTCAGATGCTGTATCTTGATATTTTCCGGAAGAAGAAAAAAAGACCCATGACTGCCTCAGCGTCAAAGTAATTATGGAATCAGCCAAAAGTTAAGAGGGAAAACAAACAAAACCTGACGACAGAAGAAGTCCTTTGCTGCTGTTGATGTCCCTGACGGAACAGCATTTCCTGTTCCAGCTGCTTGATCCTGGCTTTGGATAATTCAAGCTCTCTCAACGCCTCCCAGGCGAACCTTTTGCAAACCGGATCCGAGCACGGACACCCGCTTCCGTCTTCAGAATCCGCAATCAGGGCCAACTGGGTTTCCGGCAATTTGCGCTTTTTCTGCAGCTGCTGGTCCTGGTCTTCACCTGATCCTGTTGTCCTCTTTCTTTCTTCTTCTTCGTCCCCATTTTCTGCCTCTTCTTCACCGTCTTCTGACCTCCCCATGCTCTTGTCGAATTCAGAATACACATACGATGAGATTACACACTCATCATCATCATCTAATGGGAGCCCCCCCCCCCTCCCCTTTTTCATCCCCCAAACCCCGTAATAAAAGCTCAAAACATCTGTCGCAACAACATGGGACTCATCTAGGTGTACATCGAAAGATCATCTTTCACAATAAGATAGAGCTGGCGAAAATATGATGAACCAAAAAAGCAGCATGTCTTACAGAAACGAGTCTAAAAATATCCGGATTATGTGTGAGGTAATACAACCCCAATAAGTGAGGTTTCTACGGATCGATTTTTCAAAACTATTTCCTGCCCTTTTTATTCGTCCTTTTGAAAAGCAAAAAATCGAAGGATACAACGATTTTCGCTATCTAAAAAAATTGCACTTCTGAAGAAAAAATAAAATTCTTAAAAGGATTGAGATTATGAAGATCAGACTGGGAAAAATTGCGAATCCTCGTGGTAATAATGGACGAAAAAGTTTGGAATTTAAGCCTCTATAAAAATTGAAACCAACATTATTTTACCCCCTTCATAATTTCACTTATATGAGGGGATAAATGATTTCACTTGTCAGGAGTTTTTGTTCGAATAATGTTTCTGCTGAATCCTAGGAAAGATCTGCCCCAGTTCGTGGATTTTCAGTAGGGATACACAGCATGTTATGAAAAAAAGTAAAAAGCAAAAAAAGAGCAGAAATCAAACCTTGGAAAACTTAAAAAATCACCAAATGTCCAAGGAAGAGAGCAATAAAAAAAGGGCGGCGGCGTGATGAATATTTTTCATGTCATACTCGGGAATTTTTAAATTTTAAATCATGGCCTCCGTTATTTCGCTTTTTGGGAGGAACTGTATTATCATGAATAAAAGCTACATTCGTGGCATTAAGCAAAAATTGAAATGCTGTACTGGATAATTTTGAGCTGGAATCGTTCGAGGTGCTGACTCCATTAAACCCTCCATACATAGAACAGGCTGGTTCATCCCCCTGCCAATAAAAAAATAAAGCCAGCAAGATGAACTTACGGTGCTCAGCAAGGAGAACATCCTGTTGGCCGCGTCACTGGCAACGACACATTTCCGCACGTACTTGAAGTATATGCTTTCCACGCAGAAGAAGAAAATGGCAATTGACATTCCGGCTGCGAGCAGCAAAAATGCAGACAAAAACTGGTTGATGGAGAGGGAGGCAGAGCCGCCGCCGGAACTGGAAGCAGCGGCGTTTTGCTTTGTTTTTGGGCGGCAGGCCCCCTTGAGCCAGAAGTGTTGCAGTCGCTCCAAGTACCCTGATTTATTTGGCACACAATTCAGGACGAATGAATTACGAGCAAGTGTTCGCAGCTTGGGGTAACGGAATTCGTGTCCGGCGGCTGAACTACTGCAGAACCACTGAGCATTTCGAAGAACACTTTACTGCTGCGTTGAAGACGGAAAGTTTACTTTTTTTCTGGGGTTTTCAACAGAAGCGAAATTACGATGTGAGTGTCTTACAATCACTCTACAACAGTGTTCCCCAACCTTTTTGGGCTCGCAGACTGGCAAATTTCGATAAAATTCTTCGCAAACTGGCATATTGTCATAGAATTTTTTGCGGACCGGCGACGCTCCATACAATTTTTGATAGCAGGCATACAATTTTAAAATGCCTGCAATACAATAACATTTTATGGCAAATTTGAGCTAATAACCTGTTAAGCAGCTACAAAGTGGAAATGTCTTTTAAAAATAGGATCCTGGGCTTGAAGAAAGGTTTCTCAGGTTGATAACTGGAAGTACCGTTATATATTTCAGCGGTTGAAAAAGAGTCTGAATTTCTACTAGGAGAAAAAGCAAAAATTTATTTTTCATCATATAATTTCATCTGCCATTCTCTGCAAAATTTTGAATTGAGATAACAGACCATTACTATTTTTAATGCATTTATTATGTGGAAGGAATTTTACCGCGAACTGGCAAAAAACTGCTGCGGACCGTCGCCGGTCCGCGGACCACGAGTTCAGTCAATTGTGTCAAGGAAAATTATATATTATTTCGACCTATTTTTCCCGAAAATGGTTGAACCGTATGCATAATCGTACCTGCCAAAGAAACGGAAATACAATTTATTTTTCATGAACTTAAATCAAAATGTGAAAGTCTGGTCGATTTTACTGTGCCAGCAGCATTGTCACTTGCTCAAGATTCTTGAATAAAAAATTATTCATCGCATTTGAGGACTAGCTACACGAAAATTAGGAAATTTTAATCAATGAAAAGTTCAAGAAAATCGCGCTGTTTTTGCAAGTGTGTGCAAAAGTGGGACACAGAATAAACTGCACGGAGAGTGAAATATTTGGATCTTGAAAATGTCGGTAAGTTTAAAACGCGGCCTCAAGCTTCTTTCACTTTTGAGTAAATTTTACACCAGTAATCGTTCTAATAAATAGAGTCAACATCTAAAAAAGTGTTTTCAAGTACACGCGTCATTCCTTCATCAGATCATCCCTCTAAAATATTTGTATAGAAATTAATAATCATGCTAAAATAACTGAATAACCTTTTCATCTAAAGGTCTTACCGTTCTGACGATATCTTAGCATTTGTTGATTGAACTGTTGAATGTAACGGGAACCTTTCGGAAACCCGATTCCATAACCAGTCATGGCGTACCAAGATCCCACCGTCAGAAGTTTGCATTCATCATCTTGACCCACCAAATAGTCAAGCACTGTGGCATCGTACACAAACGCGTCCAAATCGCTGAAAGTATTAAATATTTTTACTTCAGAGAGTTCAGATGGCACTTTTCTGAACTAAAACAAATCTTCTTGGACATTGGTTGGAATTTTAAAATCGTAAAAACGCTTTTCTCGTTCAATTATGCACTGAACACTAAAGTAACATGCATAATGTCTGATCGCTTTTTCCACTAATTTATGTGGAGGCGTTGTGAGAAAGCTTTATCGTGTTCGGGTTAAGTTGGGTCGACCTTTGACATTGTAATGACTTTCAGTAAAAATTAATCGACCATCAAACCACATTGAAATTTATTCCAAATTGTGTCCCAGAGTGCTGGAAAAGTGCGAGAAAGCTCGCAGAAGGGGGGAAAAAACTTTGACCACATAGCCTGTATATATAGTAGCTTGTTACTTTTTTCTCGACTGTTGAGCTTCCGAGTGACAGTAATACATATTTTTTGCATAGATATTTTTGTCCACTATATACAGTAGTTTCCGAATTAATGGAGTTTTCTAGTTGATCCCGCAGAGAGCATTGTAAAAGGCATGGATGTAAATCAATAAACTTAACGGTTTATTTGTGGTCATTTGCGAAATTATTCGTAGAAAATCATACAGTTATTATAAGTGAGAAGATTCTACAAAAATATCACTCAGGGCCTGTAAATGATGCATATCACTAGCGAGACTTACTCCAGAAACTAGCCTTATACCACAAAAATTAATTTATGCCTACCTCATGTGTCCCCCGATTTTTCTGATAATTTTCACAACATTCATATCACCTATAATCGTCCTTCAGATTTTTTTTAATGCTCCAGCCGCAGATCTCCAACTGTGTCGAATCCAAAAATTAAATCAATTATATTCCTCACTTCTAAAATAACGAATGACCAAAGTTCCAATTGAAGCTTATCAATACTGTATACAGTATAGTTGTTCTTACGAACTGAAGCATTATGATCCTAACTTTTGGCCTACTGGGGGTAGTTTAGAGAGAAGAGTAAAAATTAAGCTATGCCTCTCGTGTCCCCAATTTTTCTGATAATTTCCAAAAAATTCATGTTTATCAATATACACTATAGTTGTTCTTACAAACTGAAGCATTATGATCATACCTTGTGGCGTACTGGAGGTAGTTTAGAGAGAAGAGTAGAGAGAAAATAGGCATTTTTCTCTTTAGAGAAAAAATGATGACATCCATAAGCTGACCATACAGTTGGGTTAATGTGATAATGATTAATTACGTTAATGAGCTCATCTGAATGGAGATCATCAGTTGCATACAACATAATTTTCTCTTCTTATGCTTTCTTCGATGGAAGCACTAATTCGGATTTTTTTTAACTGTGGTTGACGGAGATGTATTTGGATTTTGATCCCGACAACGCGTAAAGCGGTATAGAGAAAAGGAATGACAGATTATCAGTGCTTACTGGTGCTTCACACTTCGAATGCCTTCGAGGACCGAGGATCGGTTATACTTTCTCATGTACGCCATCATCTCGGGGTAGTTCTGTTTCAGGACTGCTTCAGTGTTCCCGTGGGGAATGGTTCCGAACCGGAACGGCGGCTCTTGTGCCCTCGGGTGCGTCAACTGGAATGCGGAAATACAATGCCGGGAATGTATCATTTCTGGCTTACGGCTCCAGTGCCCCCTCTTCTTTTATTTCGTTTTTCTGCTCTCATTTCTAGGTCTCGCGAGATATGCGAGAAATCTTCATATCCTCGCGAGGGGGTTTCTATATCAAACTGAGCTAGGGTCTTGAGCGGTACATTCGTAAAGTAACGCACCACTTTCTAAGAAGGCTATCCATCAAAATTGTTCGAATGTACTCGTGTACAGTATATATACACACATTCGGAGAAGTTCGGGGAAGTTTATGGTTCACTTACATGCAACGCGTGTGTAGATCTCAAAGTTCACTTGAAGGTCTAAACTTTAGACTAGCTTTCGACATCGAATTTCTCGAGATTTTCCTTAAGCAAAATATTCAACCTGTTTCCACGGACGATGGTACCATAATGTATTATTCTCTCGTTAAACCTGTTTAAATTATCTGACGCAACTAAAATCTGAAAATTAAAAACCAGGGATAATAGTATCGTGCTTTAAAAAATCAGGTGATAGTTCCAAGTGTAAATACGTTCACAGTACAGTAATTATTAAAAACGTTGTTCTACAACTCATAGATTTCAAGTCAAATAGGACGGAGTTATTTCTTGTAGATTTTAAATTGATCGATTGAGGGACAAACTGATTATTCTTATCTTGCACTGTACTTTATTTTCAAAAGTTTGAATTGCGCTGAAGCTTTGTTCAATTAACATGTTCAATTGGGATTCTCATTTCAAGGGATATTAAATTGGCAATTTTCAGCATCATTTTCATTCAAATCAAATTCAAAATTGAAACATTTGGTAATTTGCTAAATCGCGAGTAACGATTTAATTTGAACGTTCGTATCAATAACATACTATATTACTAAAAATGGGTTGAAGGAAATATTTCTACGACTTTGTTGAAACTTTAAACCCCAACTCGAAAATAAAACACTGTGAATTCAACGAAAAATTATCCATATTGGGCTCTTTGTTCGTTTGAGGAATTCTATTCTACAGTAAAGTACAATACAGTATTTCATATCTATACGTAACTGAATTCCATATTGACCTGAAGAGATGTAACTATTACCACCATCAAGGTTAAAGAAATTGAAAAAATTTCAAAGAAGAGAAAAATAAAAAGAAATGGGTTATTATTTTTGGATTCGAGCAATAAAAAAAAGGAGAAAATCGAACCCAAATGGATGATACGTGTTACTGCTGCTGCCCAAAAATGGGACCATGAGAAACCCAGAGACTTTGACAAAGCCTTTTGGAAATGACGATAGCGTCGTGAGAACAATGACAGAAAGTAGGACGGGTCGCAATTTTACCCTGGGGTCTTCTATCCCTTTGAGGTCGTGGTATTTCTCCCGGGTGATCATAAACGCAGCAAGGTTGGCCGTATAAATGGCCAGGAACACCACAGCAAACGTGGCCCACACACTGGCCATAAACCTGTATTTGAAGATTCAACAGCAAAGGAAAAGAACAAGAAAGAATAAGAAAAAAGTCGCTGTAAACAGCTGCCATCCTTGTATTCGGCACATAATTAACCAGACCGAAGATCCTCAACCTTTTTATATGTCTACGGCATATTATTGTTGCTGGACCTTTCCAAGAGTTCCAGATACATTAGTATGTAATTTTCTTCGAGTGTGTTATGCGAAGGTTGTTCCAAAAGTATCGTCAGCAGTACCGAGTCATGATATCGACAGGATATTCGATTTTTTCTGGGTCCGAATCCTAAAAATTATAGTGACCGTAATAAAAATCCTCAAAGAATGTCTGTGTTTATTTGCCAAGGATGTAAGTCAATTGCAGATCTAAACAACGGAAAATCAATCGAACTCACTGAATCAAAGTTCAAGACCATTAAATGCAGGAACTAAATTGAATATTTCAGAACTTTTTTGAAAAACTGTCATCAAAATTACATACAGAAAAGCTTCAATTGTTTGATTATACAGTATATGTCATACTTTAATGGGGTATCCAAAGTCATAAAATATGAGTTCTTGAGCCTTTTTTTTTAGCTTCCGCCTTCAGGCATGCAATTTTTCGGGGTTTAGCTTCAAGTTTCAAGCATGCAGTCGATTCGGTAATCATGTATTTTGTCCATCTTTAATCATCGGTGTATAGGGTATAGTTCTAATTTTTAATTACGGCAGACTTATTTGGTTATGCCCATCCGTGATCCATTCCAATTACTGATATATGTACATTATTCAGGCATACCATTTACCACAAAACTCGTTTCGTTGTATTTCGAGGGCAAAAAATTTGAGTGCTTGCGAATTTAACGCGGATCCCTCACGGATCCTCGAAGCACCCATTGTGGACCACTGAACTATGAAGGAAGACATTTTTCACATTCTTAGATCTTCATTTCTCTCTCACCTGGATGTGTAGCCTCGTGGGCAATCTACATTCACAGCTGCTTGGAACAAAATTGCCCACACGAGCCAATAGACCCGCAACAGCGAGAAACTGTGGCCAGGTGGTGGCTGCGACTGCGAACAGACATGCGACAAATATCATCTTAATGACTGAAGAGGAAATTATATTTCCCATTTCTGCACCCGTCTCCCGAGCTTATTTCTTGTCGCAATGATCAAGGCGAGACTGCAATTTTGTGAGATGTGATGTGGTGTGCAACGCAACGAGCGGATTGCGGTTTTTCAGACTGCAAGAAAGAACATTTCGAAAGGCCGGGTGTCTCGCTGCAATAAAAGCTCCTTGACAGCCCATTTTCGCTCACTCGAAGCTGAATAAGGAAGTATCAAATATGCTCGTGAAACTTGGATGATGTTCAAATTGCCAACCCTATGCAAATGGGCTGTGCTGAGATCTTAGGGTTCAGTTGACACACCCCACTTATCACGTGATCATCGCATTTGCTCCAGCGCGGTTTTCTCAAAAACTCACTCGTTCATCTATTTATTGAGAAGAATTCGGAGCACAAGCGAAGATAATTCGGATTTGCCCAATATAATGATGGTCTTTTTAAAAAATTAAATTTGCGTGAACAAGAGAATTCAGAAGAAGCGAGCTTGTTTCGGACAATGAGTTTTTAATTTCATTTTTGCCGGTTGAAATGTCTTGTATGCCGTTGGCAAACGGTGGGCGAAATTAAACGGAAAACCTTTTCAGATTTATGCGAATAGAACATGTCTACGCACGTGAAAAATTGGTTTCTCAGCAATCTGGGCGGTTAATCATGTCATTAGCTGTTAGAAATCCGATATAAAAATGGTTCAGTTTAGTTGCGCCGAATAATAATTTAAAACTTTAAATTCTTTGAATTTAAAGTTGACATGACTGTTAAAATACATTGCTCATAATTTGTGCAGTTTTAAAAGAAATCGTTAAGCATTTTGACAGCGTAAAAAGCTTAAAAAATTATCGTTCGTGTGATCAAATATAGCTTCTTTTCTTGCATCATTTACATTTTTACAGTACTTCACGGAAGCACTGTTTTTTTATTTTGAATTGATCGTCCAACTTTTCATCAATAAATGGAAGAACAAAACTTGATTGCAAATCACTGACATTTTATCGCTAAAAAAAGGCTGGGTTTAATTCAGCGATTATTGCCCATTTCCGTGCGGGATTAGGTATATATTTTGTACATGGTAGAAAATCTGAAACAAATTTGAGAGGCCTAGCGTGTAATGAAAAATTACGAATTGTTAACCATTTTGAACACTTGAAAGAATCCGGTAAAATTTTCAAATGCCTAAAAGAATTCTTGAAAAATTTTCAAACTTTTTCCGAATGCGTTCGAATTACAGTACTGCTGTATGTAATTCCTCGCCGCGCGTCACGGGGACAACCCGCTTACATAGGTGCATTGAAATCGAAAAAATGTTTTCAAATATTTTAGAAAAAAACTGTCCTCACCTTCATATCGTAACCCCAGGGACTCAACCACTCAAAAACGAAGATGGCCAACGTCGCAACTTGAATAGCAACCAAGGCCACCAAAATCCATGAAGCCTTGTCAAAAGGTTCTTTAAAAAAAAAAAGCGGTACGAAAAGACGATAATATGAGCGGAATTAGAGTCAATGTATAGCCATTCCCCTGTGACAGGAAACATTTTTTCGAAATGTGAAAAAACACACCCAAGAAGGCTGTCGTGGAAATAATCCCGGTTCGTTTAGCAACAACTATCGCTATCCCAGTGTCCAGGAACGGGACGGAGAAGTCAATTGCTTTTGCCCTTTCCGAGTTCAC